TGAATGATCAATGGACAAATTAGATGAACCAGAAGAATTAGATTGTGATTCAGCCATTGAAGAAACAAAAAAAAACAAAAAACAGAGTATGAATCAGATGAAAAATTGAATCAAAAGATGAAGAATCGGATCATGTAGCTCAGATACCATGTTATCAAGATTGAACTGAAAGAATCGAATGAGTTGCAAAATGATCTGTATTCATTAATTGATCAATTGACATACATAGTCATTATATATACAAGAAGGAAAGAAGCTTAACAAATTAACTGTTGCTAACGACCTAACTAACAAAAATCAAACTAAATTACTAAAATGCCCTTGGTTAGTTCTAATAGTATGAGCGACAAGCATTAGCAGCGACATATTAACGACAACATATATGTGGTGCCGCTAAAGGAAATAGCAACAATTTATGAGACTATTAACGGCGACATGAGTTGCCAATTTTCCATTAAATCTTGTACTTCATTGTATGGTTTAATGGAGATTAAACTATCATTAAACATGTAATCATGTTGGCATTCTTTAACCCATTATACTTGTCGTCCAATTCCTTCATGAATGGCCTAAAGAAAATATTCTAAATATAAAATCGAAAATGTATGTTATCAACAAATGAGATTTAAGTTTTAAACTGTAAGTTTTAAAGGTTAAGAAATCCGTACCCATATTAATGGATGTTTTCGAGCCTAATCGGGCTAAAACCCTATCTATCGGGGGTCATCTTACTTTATTGAGATTTGTGCTTGGTAGTTTGGGTTCTTATTTTATGTCAGTTTTTGTGAATCTTGTGTTAGTTTGAAAATTTCATGATCGTATCGTGCTCGGTTCTTTTAGGGTGTAGATTTAGGAGATTGAAAGTTACATTGGGCGAGGTGCGGTAAAGTTGTGGGTAGTCGTAGTGACGGGGATTAGGTATTGGTAGCTTGTTTGCGCTTAATGGGGCAATGCTTTTTAAGTGGCGGTGGAGATTTTTTTAACTCTTCGGAGTGTTTGTGGATGCAGGTAGTTAAAGTTCTTTATGGTCAGGATAGTGGGTTTAGATCTTTGGTCCCTTCTAGGACCAACTTTGGGTCGTGGGTTGGAATTCTGAAGGCGATTCATCAATTGAGGGATCGGGTTCAGGATTTGGTTTCTCTTTACCAGATTAAAGTTGGTGATGAGAAGTACATAGATTTTTGGAATGACATTTGGATTGGAGATTGACCTTTTCTATCTCTTTTCAAAGGATTTACGGTTTGGATAAATCTAAGGATGGGGTAGTGGTGGATCGTTTCATGTCGGCTTCTTTCATGTCTTTAGATACTTCTGATGTTTTCTCTATTTCTTCGGCTACGGTTTTTTTTGGACAATGTCTCTTTTATGGGGGATTGTTGAGAAACTGTGGAATTCTTGGGTGCCGGTCAAGGTTAATATTTCCATGTGGATGATCGTTCAGGGAGAATTCCTACTAGAGAAAGGTTGTCAGCTAATGGGATAGAGGTGGAGTTTATTCTTTGTCCGATTTGTGTTTCTCACGTCAAGATAGTAGATCATATTCCTGCAGAGTGTGTTGATTTAAGATCTCTTTGGTTTCAGATTGCTTTTTGGTGGGATTTAGAGGTCCTGAAAAATTTGTCTTCGTCTTCTCTTACTTCGTAGTCGGATATGGTTCCTCCTTTTTCGGAATTGAACCTCCCTAACGAGCATTCTGGACCAGCTTTCGTTCACTGACTAATCTTTGCAAACATTAGACTTTGTCTTATGTCTTGGAGTCACTGCAGATGAACCTCCATAATCACATGGGTTAGTAGTGTTATTATTTGAATATAGGTCAATAGGTTAGTTCTAAAAGGAAAATGTTTGATGTAGTGGTTGTTACCGATTTTTGGATCATTTGGAGTTACAGAAATGCTACAATTTTTGAGACGGTTGCTCCAAAGAAATCAACTCTTTTTGATGAAGTTGTTACTATTTTATTTTTTATGGATTTCCAATATGTGTAACAAGAATACTTTGAATTGGGTTCAGTCCCTGCTTGCACTGTTTTGTAATGTTTTTCCGCTTGTTAGTTGCCTAATAATATTTGCCCTTCCAAAAAAATGAATGTTTTCGAGCCTTAATTGGCTCCGTCATTAGGTGCGAGTGCAACCGTAATGACTAGCTTTGGCATAGTAGAATGAGGTTCAACTTCACGATTGTTTTTAACTTGCATTTTTTTTAAATTTATTTTCTTGAAAAAATGAAAAAGTAAAGCTGATCAGGTAGTCTAGAAAAACACAAAAAGTAGAGAAATGTCTCTTGTTACCAAAAACTAAACAAATGGTGGATCATGTGAAGGTCTATCACAAAATGTATATATGTGTGGCTCCAGCTTTATCTTGTCAAATATATCATGTTTTTTTTTCAACTGGCACAGAATTAGCATTTTGCAGATAGGGTTTGTCAATATATATTAGGGTTGTGTGGCTTCTTTTTTGCCTTTAAACTTCTTCATTGGTTGATATATAACGCATACAAAACACCGAAAACACACACAGATATACATATATAACTTATGCATATATTCATGTTTCTTGAACTCATCTGAATGCATTAACCAGCTGCAACCAAAGAGTGTGTGCACACCCCCTTTACTTTCTGGTTCTAAAAAGTGGAGTTTACTCGACCCTTTGTATGTTTTTTTTTCTGTGTTCACATCGATCGATATATAGATGACTCCGATTTTCTTAAACTCGACGTCTAATGATCATTACAATGAGCACCAATTCTTTAGCCCTAGTGATCAGCACATTGAGCACCAGTTCTTGAGCCCTAATTCTCAAGCTTCTTCTTCTTCCAACTCTCTCACTTGCCATCTTTTCTTCAACCCTAATGATCAAGATCGTGTTTTTGATAGAGAATCACATCCATCACAACTTGAGGTAATAGAGATGGGGTTGATTTTTCATGAATTATAAATAGGTTTTTCTTGGATTTTTATGCAATTCACCAATCAAGAATCTTCTTCATTCCAAATTTCTTGAACAGTTCTTTCTTGACTTGAAAAGGGGTTTTCTTGGCTTTTTGTGCAATTTCCAAAACAAGAATCTTTTCCGTTCAAGGTTTTCTGATCATTTGTTTCTTGATGCTATGTAGGATGATAACTTTGGATCACAAGCATACGATAATCTTCATGTAGAGAATCAAGATGAGGGAGACAAGAACATTGGTGGGCTTAAATTTTCGTTATGGAAGAGGGAAACTTATGATCATATGAATGACGAAAATCAAGTGAAGTGGATGTCTTCGAAGATGCGAGTAATGCTTAAGATGAAGAAGTCCGATCCAGTGAAGCTAAACACCTTACTGAAGCTTGAAGATCATCAAGATCATAAAGAAGTGGCATCGTCTCCATTAATGGAAGAAAATGCTAACTCAAACTCGTCCAATAGTACTTCGTCAAACAACAATATCACTATCCCAGTTAGGGTTTGCTCTGACTGCAACACCACCAAGACTCCTCTATGGCGTAGCGGACCTCGAGGTCCTAAGGTATGCTCAAGTTCTTACAGCACAATTAAAAATCGATGAGAAGTTATGATTTTATACTAGACCCTTTTATCACCTTTTCTCTTTGTTTAAACTTAGTAACGTGATTTTTCATGTTCTTTCTTGTGCAGTCACTCTGCAATGCATGTGGAATCCGGCAACGGAAAGCCAGGAAAGCATTGGCCGCCGCTGCCGCAGCAGCGGCAGAAACTGGAAAAGTTGTTTTTGATGATAAACCAACCTCATTGAAAGCTACAAAAGTTCTGCATAAAGATCATAAGAAACCAAACAACGGTTACATTACAAAGTACAAGAAACGACAATACTCGCAGCAAATAAGCACAAACCCATCGCCATCTTCGTCTACTCCAACACGAAAGAACTGTGTTGAAGAATTCTTAGTAAGCTTAAACAAAAACTTAACATTTCATCGAGTGTTTCCACAAGATGAAAAGGAAGCTGCAATTCTGTTGATGGCACTTTCTTGTGGTTACGTTCATGAATAGATTGAGTTTCTTTTTTTCTTTTTTTTTATAATTCATCGGGAGTAATTTTGTCTAATTTATGTTTTTGCAAGTGAGCTATAGCTATTCAGAATTTTAATATGTATTTTTCAATTAGCTAAAATAGGGTTAATCATAGTTGTGTGATAAGAACTTTGAGAGACTTAATAATAATTCCAACAGATGGAATAGTAAAAAATTAGTGTGTGTAAACCATCTGTTAGGTTATAAGAATATGATAATCAAATTGCTGATGGATCAAGTTATTTAATTGTTTTATATATTTACATATTTAGTTACAGTGATGGTTTAAACTTTAAATCACATCCGAAATAATTAAACTTCAATATATCTTATTGACGACTTTTTTACACTATACAATATCAACCCAAAATTGCTGATGGATAGGGGTGTAAACGAGCCGAGCCGAGCCCGAGCCTGACCAAGCTCGAGCTCGGCTCGTTTAATTTTGAG